TAGTCTCCAGGCCAAGTTCAAGCCAGTTCTTACTTTACCTAAACTCTTTCACCTAGTGTCCAAATTCACCTTATCTTAATTTCTGGATCTCCTTCCTCATGTTCTAAAGCCCAGACACAGGGATACTGCACTCCAGCCTCTCTCTCCTGGCCTCAGAGGGGCTTAGTGCTAGTGCTCCTCCTTCCCCCAGCAGCAGTTTCAATATTTTGAAAATCACAAGGAAGGAGAAATCCTTTATAACAGGGGTCGGCAACCTTTCAGAAGTGGTGTGCCGAGTCTTCATTTATTCACTCTAAGGTTTCGTGTGCCAGTAATACATTTTAACATTTTTAGAAGGTCTCTTTCTATAAGTCTATAATATATAGCTAAACTATTGTTGTATGTAAAGTAAATAAGGTTTTTAAAATGTTTAAGAAGCTTCATTTAAAATTAAATTAAAATGCAGAGCCCCCCCGGACCGGTGGCCAGGACCCGGGCAGTGTGAGTGCCACTGAAAATCAGCTCGCGTGCCGTCTTCGGCACGCGTGCCATAGGTTGCCTACCCCTGCTTTATAAGTTCTTCACAATGCTCTTTTCTTCCTTGTGAAATGCAGGTGGATTTTTTGGCCTAACAATTTTGAAACCCCAAAAGTTGCTGCAAAATGGAATTATCCTCTGTTCAGCACCAATTTCATTAGTGCCAGAAAATGCTATGCTTATATTTACTTCCAAGGGGTACTGATGGGTACTGTCTGTCAGATGAAAGGTGGCAAGGAGCAATGATAGTAGAGACACATAGTTGGGGCAAAACCAGGTTTAAAATATTTTCTTAATGATGAGTTAAACTCTGGAGTCAAACTTAAGTGGTTTTGTTTAAAATTAGTCCAGGCTATACAGTGTAGATGGGTACAATCATAAAACCAATAGAGGAGAATATGACATTTTTGCTCTAAAGAAATGTGATAATACAAGTATTTAAAACCCCTGTGAAAAGACAGACAAAAAAACCAGCCACCAACATTTTTTAAAACTGAACAATATAATTTTATAAGACAAACTGCTGAGGAATATCAGTTTTGTCCATTATTTAATTAAAACATACAGTAAGAACAAAATAATGCAAATGTAGGTTTGTACTCATTTCCAGAAAATAGATTCATTTTGACAAACCACGTATTAAGCAGAAATAAATCCTGCAACACACTGATTACTTCAGAACAAGTCACCGCAGTCCTATACATTGTACTTTAGCTGTCAACAGCCAATTCATCTGTTCCGTAGCCATGACACTTGATTTACGTGTAACAGCACGCAGATGGTAAGATGCACAAAGCATGTACATAAGATAAAATGTTACAAAAACATTTGTGAAGTAAAATACATATGCAAGTCATCTCTAATATTTACAACAAAAAGTCTTAAATTACAGGATCATTCAGAAGGCATCTCGTAAATACAAATGCCACAGACATAGAAAAAGAAAGGCAGTCAATGAAAGGTACTGTATGGCGAAGAACCTTTGGCTCCCAAACTCCAAGTTATGATCATTTAAAAAATAACTAAATGTGGAATATTCGTGTATTCTATCTTCAAACTCCTTCACTGCTTTTCACTGTTAAAAATCAATGTGAAATTCAGCATGGCAAAAGCCACTTGTAAAACAAACTTATTTTGTAGTAAGATCAAAACTCTTAGATGCAGTTACGTTTTGGCATTATCCCAACCCAAAGGAAACACATTCAAGGAAGATTGTTTTAATGCTTTTCAAGCATAAAAGTCTGAGGTTATCTGCTCAATAGGTAATAAGGAAGGCTCTCCCCAGCCTGTGCTTTACCTACATGAGGCACAGCTGTGCTTAATTGTTGCATTAAAACATGAAATAACTTAAAGCAAAGAAAAATGGGATGACATTAATAGCTATTGAATTCTGATTTTTCTATTGATATGCACATGAAAAGCCATTTCATCAGGAGTCAGACAAGGACAAGGTTCTTTTCAAGGTAGATTTTGATAAACTACTACCCATCATATTTAATTTGCAACTGTTCTCCCATGAAGACTCTACAATCATGCTGAACTTCTTGGTTAATAGGTGCTTTGATTGTTGGATAATGTAACAATGTTTAACTATGATATCTTCAAAACCCTGTGATGGAGTCTGCCTTTGGCCCATTTTGTGTCATCCTGCCATCAAGTGAGCACATTCTTAGACCACGGATGAATAAATTAGCCAATAAAATGTACATAAACATGCCATATTGATCTCTCTTTTTCCCACCTGGTGCAAGATTAGGCTGCATGGAAAGACACACAGAAGATGATAAATAAACCAGATGCATATGCAATATACTGTACATAAAACCTATCCTGACTAATCTGCATCATGAAATGCTTTGCCTTGCATCTCGTTGAAATGAATGAGGTTCTCCTGAAGAAAGGAACTTGTGCATCCAAAAGCACATTCAAACCTTTGCCTTCATTTCCAAGGCGAAGCACCGCTATGCAAAGAAGAGTCTTTGTAGGTACTCACATGCCAGTAAGTACATTCAGAAATCTAATCTGCTTTCCAGTATTGCCACAGGGACTAGCTTTTTGGAGTGGAATAGGTTTTATCTAAGACAAGTGTGTAACCATGGATGTGCCTCTCAAACTCTTTAGGCTCATGCCAGCATGACATAGAAAGCTGATGGGGTGAAGGAACAGCTGGGTGTACAATGCAGCCCAGGAGTCTTTTCCTGTGTCTAGGGCAAAACTTTCCAAATGTGTGTGGTGAAGCTAGGACTTCAAAAACGTCTGCTTGCCTACTGCATGTGCATCACTTGCACTCGTACAGCAGAACTGGGCAACTGTGCAGACAAATGGCTACTGAGAAATACAACATGGCTACCCATTTTAGTGGGAGCACAAGTTTAGGTGCCTTCATCTGGAAATACAGTCCTTATACTTACACTGAACATTCAGAATTATCTTTAAAAAATCTGAAAGGAGTTGGCTTATATTACACAGACATTAAAAAAATACCCAGCAAGTTGTTTCGCTGGCTTTCCCGCACACTTTTTTTTTTTCCAAATTGGATCTTTGCTTAGAAAAAAAATGCCTGTGAATAATTTGATCTGCCATGAAGCAGTTCTCAAACATTTCAAGTTTTCACTCCACTAATAAATAGGAAAAAAGCACAAGCACTAAGGTTTACCACACACTGGACAATTCAGTTCAACATAAGCAGATCTTCCCAATTATTGATAAGCTACGTACAGAAGGCATTTCAAATGTACTGTTCCCAAAATGCATCACTTAAAGTTAAAACCACTTGTTAGTAAAAGGTCATGTATGTATCCATCGAAAATTGAAGTGTAAGTATTTTTCTAACATCTATTGACAAACATTTATTGGTGTGCATCCTTAGTGAGCTTGTTCATGCTTTGTAGAAGCTACCATGGTTATTAAATTATTTTACACTCCAACTTTTGGACTCTACAAGACTGGCTACAAGTAAAAATAGAAAGAGTAACAACAGCAGAGTTTAAAATAAGGCTTTTTACATTGTCAATAAGATGCCTGCCCATTAACCTATGATTTGTTCTTCACATATTTTTACACATTCATGGCAAAGAAGATTTTGTTCATTTGTCAAAGAACACTCCTGGAACTGCCTTTATTATTAGATAATGCCCCTAATCAGCAGCATAGGAATCTTGTAATGGTAAAATATTTGAAATAAATCCTTTACAAACCAGTGCTGAAACCTATGGAGTCTCTCCTCCATACTTTTTAATAACTCTCATTAGCATTAATGAGAACTACACATGACCACTGGGAAAAATGATCAGTGCTGCCAGTTCCAAGATCCTATTTTCTCATACTGGATTTTTTTTTTAAAGGTATTCTTTCAAATCAAACCATATATTACAGATCCTGGCCAGAGCTGACCTTAGCGCAAAAAAAAAAAAAAAAAAAAAAGTCATCCTTCTCCAAGAGAAACTGATGGTTCTCAGTCAAAGCCCATTTCTGATTCCACCACCGTCTTTTGTCCATACTGGTGGCATCTTCTCTTTAACATTTTGAAGTAATAAAAACCCACTGTCACTTGACTGATGTGTAAGAGGCTCAGAATCAAAGACAGCTTCAGGAACTTGACGGAAACTTTTGTTACAGTTCATACACTTTAAATTCCATCCATATACAACTTTCCAGTTAAAGTGTGAATTATATAACCAAAGCTATCTAGTGCCAACAGTCTCTCATGGTTCCTTAACTTTGCATTTTTGTATGTTCACATTATCTTCATTTGATTAAAAAAACACTTTAGTTTTTATACTGAAACACAGGCATACTGGAATTACAGAGAAGAGTGTCACAGGATAAGAGGTATGGGCAAGAAATGAAATGTATATGGAAGTGCATACAAGAATGCAGTATGGTGCCTTGGTTGGAAAGAATCATTTGGTGGGTCCTTCCTCTTTCCAGTCCTTGTATGCAGTAAATACATAAATCCTTGCAGTCTTTTTTGTTCATTTTCCATAATATGGAGTCAAAAAATTTCTCTGTTCTAACCTAGAAGATAAGGCCTTGCGGGACTTCCTATTGCCATTTGGCAAATGTAAAGAAACATTGAAAAAGACAGGAAGTGTTAAGGTCCACTAGTTTCTGCATCCACATCAAGTTAAATCAGGTGGGATTCACTCACCTGATCCTGATGGATGACCCCTGCTCAGTGATCCAAAGGAAGAGAAAAATCTCCTAAAGTCCCTTGCCAATATGCCCTGAGGGAAGAACTCCTTCCTAATCCTAAATTTGGCCATCAATTCACTATTAAGAAAAATGAAATGTTCAAATGACCCTACCATTAATGCAGTGCGACTAAAAAGAGAGATTAGATGCTGCTACTATAGAATAACAGCAATTTGCCTTCGTCACCAAGTGATGTGCTCCTCATTAGCAATGCTTATTGACGCATGTCAACATTTACTTCAGAACCATCTGGATTCTTCATCGTAGAACCTCATGAACTTATCTGGATTCTTCATCATAGAACCTCATGAACTTCATTTTCCTTCTAGACAAAGGTGATGTTTTTGGCTCAGGCAGAGCTAGGTCTTTACCTCCAAAAGGGAGAATTAATGGTTTTCCGGCTCAAACATGTTCAACTACGTCCCAAAGGTTCTTCTCAGGAAGACATCTCTCCTTCAGCCAACGTCCTTCCAATGACTTTGGCCCTCTCATTTCTTGAATGGGGTAAGTTTGTTGAAGGTGTGCCAGAAAAGGGATGGCTTTCGTTTGGGTTCTGCCAGGGCAAAGACCTGCTGCTGTGGAATGCTGGTGGGGACAGTGATGTGGCGTTGATGAATAGGATGTAAACTCTGGTGTGGAGGAGGCATGGGACATCCATTATAACTTATACCTGCAGAAGGAAAAAATGAAGAATGTGTGAGACAAATGACAAAGTAATCAACCCAGAGAAAATGCACAGAGCATATGGGTCAAATGCAGCTCTCAATGAAGTCTGAAACTTGCCATCATAGCCAATAGGAGTAGATCAGATCTTATCATATCTGACTTTCCACTTTTCTATTTTGGTCTTAATTTTGATTGGGTAAAAAACAAATAATTGTATGACCTCAAATAACTTTACAGTATTGTCCAGAAAATCAGCAGTAGTTTCACAAAACCAGACAACATGTGCAGAAGCATTGTGCTTTTAAGAGGAAAGATGGTTAATGTAGCAGACACTTTGACTTTTTAAGCAATAGCTGGGTAAGATTATGTAAAATGTTCTGACTGGTGAAGAAAAGGTACCTTGGAGGGGAAAATAGTTTTCCAAGGTAATGCTCTCTGACTTTGACATTTGAGTATTGAGATCACAATCTCCTGATCAATTTTTTACAGCCATTGCCCTGAAAATCTGGCCCAATTTGTAACATGCCATTTACTCATATATATTGAGAGATAGATATGTTTACATATTAATATGCACATAAGAATCTCTCAACTGCAGATCAAAATTTTGACATTGATGCATTTGAACAAAGACAAAAGTCATGCCTCTTCCAACCTTCCAGGAAAGCACCCCAACCAACTGCCCACTCAGACCCAGGCTGACTCCCAGCTGCTCAACGCATCCACTCAACCCATCAAAAAGTGATCCAAATCTCTCGCACACACACACAAAACCATTTAGAATTTTATTTTGAATACAACAAAATCTCGGTCCAAAGAATATTTTAAATCAACAGTGTTGAATTCTAGAGAGAACTTGGGTGGAAGGGTCTGAACATGGGAATGGAACCAGGGATTCCTGAGTTTCTAATCCCATCTAAACCACTGACACCCTCTGTACCTTTAAGCAAATCACTCAACTTCTCTGTTCAGGTCTTCTTTTAGGTGGGGATAATACTAACTTGCCTGTCTGAAGGTGTTTGTGAGGATTATTTAGTAAATAGTTTATAAAGGGCTTTGAAGTTGAAATACATGCTAAATAAAATCACTTTAGAAAGTCTAACCCCAAAAGAGATTTGCAAAGGATCAAAGAGAATGACTATATTTGAATATGTAAGCAGAGTCTGAATGAGCTCTCCCTTGACATCTAGTGATGAGCTGTGGAAGAGGACTTCAGGAGCCGATCTCGTTTGCATGGGCACACCCACCTGGCCTAGGTGCTTAGCATGATGAGATTGCTTGCCCAAATGGTCACTTTTGGCGGTGTGGGATCCCCAGTCTCCTTGTTATTGGGGCAGGAGTAATAAAGGGTTGTTATCCTTATGTGAATCAAGGGCAGGAGAACTGAACTTGGCATTTCCCAATCGTGGGACTCACCCTCAACTAAACAGTACTCACTAGGCAGGGGACATGGGTTCCAAAGCCCAGTGAGTTGAGACAGGATGGGAACAGGTACTTATCCCTCATTGGGTACGTCTTCACTACCCGCCGTATCGGCGGGTAGCAATCGATTTATCCGGGATCGATATATCGCGTCTTGTTGAGACGCGATATATCGATCCCCGAACGCGCTCACCGTCGACTCCGGAACTCCACCAGAGCGAGCGGCGGTAGCGCAGTCGACGGGGGAGCCGCAGCCGTCGATCCTGCGCCGTGTGGACCCCAGGTAATTCAATCTTAGATACTTTGACTTCAGCTACGCTATTTGCGTAGCTGAAGTTGCGTATCTTAGATCGATCCCCCCCAGTGTAGACCAGCCCATTGTGTGGGCCCTGCCTAAGGGTCCCAGACACCATCGGACTCTCCTCTCTCTACGGTGTAATAACAGAGCTAATTTAGACTCAATTGAGAGTCTTGTTACATGCTGCAGGGCTGAAATCACTGATACCTAGGTCTAAGTATTAGACCTGCTTTGGGACAGTGTCTCTGATGTAAGAGACTGCCCAGTGTGCACCAGCAGTGAGGCTCCCCCACTAACAGCTGAAGTCACTGACAGCTGTGTTAAGTGGTGGGCCCTGAAGATAGTAGGGCAGCTGGTGGTGAAGCAGGGTGAGTGGGCAGAAGGGTGGCTGGCAGAGAGGACCGGCGAATGAGTGCCCGAGCAGTGGCATGAGTAAGGTGCCTCCTTACACCCCCCACCTCCACCCAAGGTGGGAGGTGAACACTGCAGATACATCTCTGAACTCTGGGTCTGCACTGTCCAAGGACAACTGTGAGTGGGGTGCAGAGAAGGGATGAGCACATTAAAGGGACTTTGGGGTTGCTGAACTTAAGAACACTGCCCAACGTACTTGGGAGATGGGTCTTTCGCTCATGGTTTATGTTTATGAGTCCTGTTTGGGATGTTTCCCCAAATTAATGCCGAGTTACCTCCCTCCTTTTATTAAAAAAGTTTTTTGCTACACTCAGACTCTGTGCTTGCAAGAGGGAAAGTACTGCCTCTTAGAGGTGCCCCGGGATTATGTGTAATTGTCCCAGGTCACTGGGTGGGGGCTCAAGCCGGTTTTCCGTTGTATTGTTGAAAAGGAACCCCTCGATACTGAACCCGGCCCTTGTTGCTGCCAACTGTGACTGGCAGAAGGGTTACAAATATCTCCCATCATAAGTTCAATACTGAAAAAATAAATGATATATTTAAAACTTACAATAATACTTAAATACTGTACTCACCTTTAATTTTTCCATGCCTTGATTTTCTCGCATTTTGCATGGCTTGTTTCTTTTGATTTTCTGAGATTTCCATTCCTGGATTTTAAAGTACATTAGGGTCTCAGTATTAAGATATTGTATCTGCTATTTGATAACAGTAAATTAAAAAACATTTGAGCAAACACAATTTTAAAATGATACTTTAGTGATTTTTAAATAATTCTTAATAGTAATGTACCATATGTTTTTGAGAAATACAGGTCCAGATTTTACTGTTTCACCAGTTTAACTCTGGCATTTCATTGGCATAACTGAGATACTAATTTGGCCCTTTGAGCACAAATTGATGCCAACCTGTGCTGAAATAATTATCTCCAGCTGGTGGTCATTGGGGATCTGACTAGCTACTTGTCATTTTACAACTCGCAGCTAAATTGGTGATGACAAAGCAAACTAACACCTAGGAAGATTATGTGGATTTATGACACTTTGGGGGCCAATGGATCCACAAACCAGTTATTGAATTGCTAGGAGAGATAAATATGAGGCTTGATTCTCTTCTCACTCACACTGGGGTAAACCTGGGATAACTAAATGAAGTCATTAGAGTTATACTGGTGTAAAGCTGGTAAGAGAAAAGCAAGGTCACAGTATGTATAGACATAATCCTGCTTGTATTCTGTAAAAGAAAACTGAACCCATTTTCCTCAGACCAACACTTGAATTTTTGCTGTTCCTGTGTTTACTGTATTGGTGTTATACATTTTATCTATGTTGATCCAAATTTAATAAAAATATATATTTTAAAAGCTGAAAAGCTCCTCTAAGAATATGAATGAATTTCAAACTACGTCACTGTTAAACTGGCATTTTACAAAATGTAATGTCTTCAGTTTGAACAAACCAGGTGGTGTTTTCTTTTAACGATGAGCTTGTAGCCTTCTTTGGTGTGTGTTATGCATGTCAGTGTATTGAGGGATATTAAATACACTTGTTTACACACTTACATGGTCAGTGTCATGTTACATGATACCATGGTCTAACCTAACAATTTACTGTAATGTACTAGTGTTAAGTGTCTGAGGGATTTCAATGTGGCTGAGAGAGGCTGGCTCCCAAAGAGGACAGGCACCTGCTATTAGTGTAGCTAGAGGAATTTTTCCTTACATCTAATGGACTATGTTTTTGGAGGTCAAGTACTGATGTTCTAGTCCCATCTCCCTATGTGTGAGATTCATCTAGTAACTGTGCGTGTTGTTTGCAGCATATGAATGTGTTATATTAGCACAACTAAAAAAGGTGTGTGTGGTGCTTCTCGTTCCATTCATATATATACAATGGACTGCAAAGTGTTGCAACCCAAAGCCAGGTGGCCCAACAAAGCAGCCACTTGGATTCCATTCTGCTCTTCATTCACACTTTTCAGTTACTTTGAATTCCCTGCACTTTCTGGCCTGCATTCATGGAGGAGTTACATCCCTCAGGTGACTGTTTTTAATATAATCTGACCATACTCTTTCAGTTACCAGTTATTCCTTTTATTTCATTTGTAATTATTCAATTCTTTTTTCTCTTCCTGGAGACAAAAAAGCAGCCAAAGAAATCAAAAAGTTGCAGCAGCAGGAAGCAGACTGTTTTCTTAGATCTACCATTAGTGGTTTTGGAGAAAGAGCTGCTGGTTGTGGCCCATTCCCAGCATGCACTTATAATAGCTCAGAAGAGTTGGATATGGTTTGGGAGGCTCTGACCTCTACTGAAATGTCTTTGAAAACAGAACTAGTCATTCAAGCTTTAGAATTTGAAGAGTGATTTATTTGTTCCTTGAATAGTTAAATTAGAGACTTCATCTGAATTCCAGCATGATAAATTACAAAATCAAACAAGATGTTTGAGGTTGAGAATACCAGAGGTCTTCCACTGGCTTTGGCTAAAGGATAGTGTTCAACTATGCCAAAAAAGTGAAATTGTAGAAAACAAACTCTCCTGGGTAATGGAGAAGAGATCCAAGCCATAGAGACTTACGAGGGCATATCAACATAAATAAAGTGGGTTTGGACATTAAATTTGAACCATCCCTTCTATAGCATAAGATACCTATATAACACAGGATACTACTAGGTCTGAACCATGGGCGCTGGAACGGGGCGGCCAGGTGGCATGGCCCCGTCACTTTTAAAAGTGGGATGGCTACGGCCTCCCACTTTTTCCCTGCCTTAAGGGCAAGCGATGGGGGCTGGGACCTTGGGGGTAAGAGGCGGAGCGGGGGCAGGGCCATGTTTTGGGCGCTGGTAACTCCTCTTTTAGGGAGCTTCTGGTGCTCCTGGTCTGAACAAGCATTTGGAATGTCTGATAAAGGATATTTTACAGCAGCCTACATTTCACACATATATGCAGTGATATATAAAGCTGGATTTATGAATCTAACATTATAGAAAATACATTTTCTTATTATTCTGTTTTTGTTTGCTACACACATCACTAATTAATATTTGTACAATGTTTTGTAGATATAAATCCCTAACTTGCACTCCTTGCATTGAACACAATGGAAATGTTGGGACTACAAGATATGCATGATCAAGCCCTCTATAAATGCTAAGTTATTATTATCATCATCATTATAATGCCCACTGCTAGTTAAGTCATGAGATTATACATTCAAATATAAGATGTAAAATAAAAAATTCAGGGATTTGGCTGCTGCAACTTTCCTTAGAATAGTATTCCTCAGTCTTATCAGTCTCAGGCCTTTTTATGTAGCTATTTTTGTTGCAATATTACTTTTGGGGGAAGGTTTAGCACCCAATCACCCATGTGTTTTCTTGTAGGAAGGTTCCAAACCTTCTCTCCCACCATATGAGTTTTGATAAACTGTACATAGCTCTGCCAGCAGCAGAAGGCGCCAGCAGCAGCAGTACAGTCTGGGTCTACTGGTCTGCACTTCAAAATCCCCAAAACGTGTAGTATTTGGTCTGACAAGGTGGGTGAAACAACAACTCTTATTGGACTAACTTCTGCTTGGTGAGAGACAAGCTCTCGAAAGCTTAATTTGTTTTTTACCCAACAGAAGTTGGTCCAATAAAAGATTACTTCACCCACCTTGTTTCTCTAATATTCTGGGACTGACACAGCTACTGCCTAGAAATTTGGGCTGTCCTGCATACTCTCTTGGTTCCATTTTTGTGGAACCCCCAGAAAGGAACTGCTATAACTGTAAAGAGCTCAGATCCTGGCTCACAAAGCTAAAGTGGAGGAGCTAAGTGAACCTTGGAAAGGTCCAAAGATGAACAAAGATTAGCTGTTGATCTCCTTGTGCCCAGTCCAATTCACAAATCCCCAACTGCAATGTGCCCAGTCATCAGGTTTAATGGAGCTAAGGCCCATCAAGAATTTGGAAATTAAGTGGGGGCCGGGGTAGGGTGGGGATGTTGTATTTTGTTTTGTAAACAAGGGAGCCCTGCTCCTTGATGTGACAGTCTATTCACTATTAGTCCCTCTCATTTTTTGGACAGCTTGAGCTAGCTTGAGTCGTTTTGTTGTGATAAATGGGATAGATTGTATATTAGTTCCCAAATGCACTACACTGTTCTTCTATTTCCCATCAGCCATCCTGCCCCAATGCACATGTTGTTTTAGAGCTCCGCTGGGCTAATATTCAGTAGTCTGGAGATGGGCCCAATAGTGATAAGTGTGTGCCTGGGCAGGGTATGCACTCCATGTAGAAGCCGCTTCTGAAAACAATGGCTGGGGTGCCCAACAGGAGTATAGGCTCCCAGTGCACTGCAGAGCAAGGGAGAATAGGGAAACTAATTTGCAAGGTAGTTTGTTTAGTTGTCTCAGCTCCATCTTTTATTTTGGGTACCAGCTACCCTTGGCTACTTATAACGTATGGTCCATGGGGGAAAGTTAAGGCTGATGTTGGAATATTAGCTGGCAATGTTTTGACTTTTTCTTTCAGTGTGTGTGTGCGCGCGCGCGTGTGTGTGGTGTTTTTGCTGTTGAATGACGATGACATTTATTTTCATGAATAAGGAGAAGGATAACTTTAGAGCCATAAACTATTGAGCTTCTCAGCAGGAGAGAAAATAATGGCCTAACAGAGAACAGCCACTACCTAGAATATATACACAAAAGAGGCCTGATTCTTGTTTCAATTACACCGGTGTAAATCAAGAGGAAGTCCATTAAAGTCAATGGGGTTACACTGGTGTGAGATCAGAATCAGCCTCGGCGTACATAGGGATTGCTCCTATTTTATGGGTGGGTTGGGAATATGAGGCTCTTAATCATGTTAAAGTTTTAATGACTTGTGAGTTATGTCATCCAGGAAATCACATTCAGAGCACTTTGGATTTTAATTTGCTGTCATTTAGAGCCATTTCAGTCCTGAAGAATGTTACTTATGAGTTATCCCATCTCTCCCCATTAAAGATAAATGTCATAACAGAGAGCAGCCATCATACATTACACACACACACTGGGATTTTTTCCCTCCCACCATTGCCTTAGGAATGTAAAAATCAGTTTTATGCTTCCTATCACTACTGTCCTCTTATATCTCTATTTTCTCAGTGCAATTCTGCTGAATCTTTTACCACTGATTTTATTAAACTGAAGCGGTTATGCCCAATATTAAACTGTGAAACAAACATAATTTTAAATTAAAATCCCAAATGCGCGCGCACACACACACACACACACGCGCGATACATTTTGGCCCAAAGCTGGTCCTTGGATTTGCAAGGCCCTATCCAATGTCAGACATGCAGGGTTCTACCCATTCCCCTCCTCACTTATGACTAGGCCTTTCCTCCTCTATAACTTGGCTGAGTGCTGCTATACTACATAGGTTGCACAGACCTAAGGATACTACTGCCTGGCTTTATAACAAAATGTTCTTTAGAAACAAAATGCCAACCACTAGTTCACATATAAGGTGTAGTCCATGCTAAAAAGTTAGATCAACCTAGCTACATAGCTCAGGGGTATGAAAAATCCACACTCCTGAGTGACGCAGTTAAGCCAGCCTAACCCTGGGTGCAGACAGTGCTAGGTCGATGGAAGAATTCTTGCATCAACCTAGCTACCACTTCTCGGGAAGGTGGATTACCTACGCCAATGGGAGAACCCCATCTGTCAGCATAGGCAGTGTCTCCACTTAAGTGCTGCAGCAGTGCAGCTGCAGTGCTGTTGCTGTAAGTGTTTCACCTGTAGACAAGCCCTTCATACTGGTATGTCAAGTTATTGTTACTGGCACTCTAAGCTCCCCCTCATGAGGTGAATTCTCTCACATCTCTGAAGCTGTGGAAGGCCCCCAATAACCCAGTAGAACTACATGAAGTTCTACTATGCAGTCAGAGGGAGCTTGAGGAATTCCACCCCACCCCATGCCCTAGAAGTCAGCTACACAGGGTCTCTTGCTGCATACCTGCTCTGAGAGGACTAGCGGGAGAGCAGGGGAAGGCCATAGAACAGGGATTAAGGAGCTACTGTTGATCTAGGGCTGCAAAAGTGGCTGTGGGGCAGTTTTACTGCTGCTCCATGACCAAATAGTGAGCATTCCTTCCCCCATCCCTGTAGAATCTCCCTCCACAAAGCTTTTCAGCGGGGGACAGATTTTTGCTCTCAATGAGTAGTCTGTGCTGCAGTTAGTGCACTCATCCTGCCTTCTGCTCTGTGTGTTGTGCAAGATGTAACCCACCACAGAGCCACAGCCACACCAATCCCCAGTCTCAGGATCACAGAGCTCACACAACTGAATGGGAAACAACAGACGCTTGTATAGCTGAAGTTTGTGTCTAGTAAACAGGCACAGCTGCCCAAAAAGGGTGAGAACCCATTTGCACAGAGCCAAAAAGGAGAGAAATCCAAACTTTGCCTTTTGATTTAACACCTCCCCGCACACTGTACATCTTTGCACTCACCCATTTCTTTGTCTTCCTGCACTCTTCGCCTTTCATTTTCACATGCCTCCAGCCACCTTTTCTTATCTTCCTGTTTTTTTGCACAAAACAAATAAACCTCTTCTGTTGCTCTATTCACAGTTTTGAAAGCATTCTTGATATTAATGTTAAAGTCCTTATCTTTGCCATCCTCAATGTCCACAAGTTCCATCTCATCCAGATCAATCCGACCTTTGTAATATAACATGTCCCGTCGCAGCAGGTCCTTTTTACAGAACACAAGCTGATGGTCAAAAAGGAAAAAAATCCTCTGCTGGCTTTTGCCTTGCTTTGAGATTTTGGTCAGTTCGCCCGAGTGGATCAGTTCTGAGCTTCTGGCTAAAACATCCTGCCCCTAAAATATATAGAAGTGTATGTGTAATAAATAAATACACAGTTTTAAGCGATCATATTACTAATTATTATTTTTGTAGCATTTGGTCACACGACAGACAGAACTGTACTTCAGTTTCAATGAACTTTTTTAAAATCTATAAATATAAAAGGTAGATCAAGCTGCATTCACAAAAAAATATGGGTTTGATTCTGCTCTCAGTTTCACCAGTGCAAACCAGGCGTAACTTCATTGAAGTCAATGGAGTTACCCGAGTGTAAAACTATCAAGAAATCAGAATCGGATATAATGGTCCCAACCTAAAAGAAAATACATTTTGTTCTCTTTCAACATGTCTTTGTAATCTCAAAGATACAAACACGTGTTATAACTGTTGCTCTTTCTGAGTAAGACATAAGATAATCAGTAATAGAGTCATTGCAAATGAAGCAACTCAACTTTTAACTGACCAAGGACCACATGAAATGTATGCACCATAAACTACTACCATAGAAAAAAAGATGCCCCCCAGAAGTCATTTAAGTACATTTTAATCTTAAATATTTCATGAAAATGGAAGAATGATACCTACCTCCCAATCAACAATAGATACTTGCCAGCGTGCAATCTTGTCTATGCTTTCCAGCCTTCGTTTGCGCTCATTGATGAGGCATGCTACATTCTTCATGGCCTCATACGCTGCCTGTATATTGTTATAATCACTGTAAAGTGGAAGCAGATTTCAAACACATTATATGCACTGGATATAACACATCAACACAGTTTACCTGACTGTCTGAAGCATGATTCTCTACAGTATCAATTTATCCCCCAACCAGAGTTCTTAAATCTGAAGGGCCTGATTCCCCACTACCTTGCATCTTGTATAGTCATTTACACAATTCTATGCTACCCTATCACCCACTTTGCACAGGTGTAAATTACTACACCCAGGGCAAGGAGGTGGAGAATCAAACCTAAGCTGTGATATCCAGGCTCCATTGAAATCAATGGCACCAGTCCCATCGACTTCAATGGGGACATGGTTTCACCCAAAGAGTTTATTTATAACAGGAATCCAGTTGTGTAAAACAATGTTCTCTTTAATAATTTATTTTTAGATTATATTTTCCTCTCCCTCCTCCCCAATAGCTGGGAGTGAGGCATGGGACTGGGGTGACTTGATAAGGGGAGCACAGCTTAGTGTCCTAGCTGCTTAGCTGCAATGTTATAGGCGTTGAGAGGAATGTCCTCTTCTGTCTTGTACAAGGATTCTTCTTAGAAAGGCCAATGAAAGGATCCAGAGAATGAGGAGTTGCTGAAATCTACCTAGCTGTTGTGAGTTAAGGGGGTCATGAGCACAAAGAAGGAGAAATGAAAGGAGGAGGGATTGATTCTTATTCTTCTTCCGTATGGCTTGGGTAGATAGATATAAATTTGTAGTTGTTGCTAAGGTTGATAGCCAGTACATTGCTGCAGCAGTGAGCTGGTGGAATGTCCTTCAGGCCCCCGGCAAAAGAACAAAGGGGACATTCAGATATGATGTGCTCTATCATTTGTACCTGGCGACCACAGGTGTATGCCTCATTTTCCACTTAAAGAGGGTTTGTTCACATCTCCCATGAGATGTCATGATGCGATTCAATTTGCACCAGTCTTTCCGACATAAATCAAAACCTGGTGGTTCCTCAAGAGGATCAACGACGAGCTGTTTGTTTTGAGCGGTCAAAGTGCTTCATGTGACTCTCCATTGAGCCTCAGCATCAAAGTTGGTTGTAAGGATCTTCATACGGTTCCATAGAGGGTTGCAGGATTTTAATCTTGTCTTTGGCGGGTTCTGCAGGTCATGGTGCAGTGGGATCCTCAAATTTGCGTTGACATGAGTAAGAAAGCGAGATGTCTGAGCAGCTCTTCTAATCTGTGGAGGCTGATGTGCGATAGGACCGGGAACCAGTCAACTGGGGTAGATTTGAGCATCCCTGACACTATGCCCATAGCATTATTGAGTTGAGTGTCAAGGAGTTTAGTGTGACTACTATGAGACCACACTGGTGCACAATATTCAGCTGCAGAATATACCAAGGCAATTGCGTCTGACAAAGTGGGTATTCACCCACAAAAGCTTATGCTCCAATACGTCTGTCTATAAGGTGCCACAGGACTCTTTGTTGCTTTTTACAAGGCAATTGTTGCGGTTCATAAGGTCCGTGGACTGGAGCCCCATGATGTTCTGGCCAATTTCTGATAAGCGCGACACGAGACCTGACCTTATCGTGGGTGTTCTCGAGGTGTTGTCGAAAGGTCAAACTCCAGTCCAGTGTAATGCCAAGATACTTTGGATTAGCTTCATGGCTGACGCTCTCACTGCAGAACTGCACATCAAGTTTGGTATTAGCCATTTTATTGTTCAGATGGAAAGCAGTTACCATGGGTTTTTTTTGGATTAGGCCTAAATTTCCAGCATTGGAAATAATCAGCCATTATGCTAAGATCTCAGGTTAGGGTGCAGCTGGTGGTATGTAGGCTTGTGTGCTGAACAGCTAGGGAAATATCATCCACAAACATGAATTTCCTTGACTCTGTTGCTGGTATATCCACGGTATATACATTAAAAACTACTGGGGCCAGGACAGAGCCCTGAGGGATGCCTGAGTTAAGAGTTCTTGGTCTACTGATCTGGCCATTAAGGTGTACCTTAAAGCAGCGATCCCCAGTCATCGCCGCCAAGAGGCAGATTGTTCACCAGCAGTGAATGATGCGGGAGACCTTGAGAAGGAGGCCCTGTCTCCAGACAGTGTCGTATGCCGAGGACAGATCAACAAGGGCGATTCCCGTCTTCAACTTACGTTGGAATCCTGCCTCAGTGTGGCTAGTAAGTGAAGCTACTTGGTCATAGAAGTTTGGGAGGAAGACGAGAACCTTCTCATGGTGCTTCTGTTAAGTGCTGGTGTTTTCTGTGCTCTGTGTTTTGTGCAAATCCACCAACATACCAATATCAATTGGCCACTGGATCGTTTTACCGACCTCCCAGCGAACATAGAGGGATTGATTAATGGCTGCTGACAGGCTGGGCCATTGCATGTAAACAGGTGTTTGAGGGGCAAGACTGAGAGCCCTGGCTTCCCCTCCACTTCTGCAAATTTCCTCACATGCTTCTGCCTTACCACCTGCACACCTCTGGATGTGTGTGTTCACAATTCACCTCCCTCTCCCTATTCAAATACCCACTAGAAACTCACTTCTGCAACATCACACATAAGAAGCGAGAGTAACACTAACAAAATCCCACTAATGTAAGGGTGGACATGCCTTATTGAGTGACCGCACAATCTCATCACTGTTTCCCTTGCCCTTCCTATCTTAGTCCCCTTCTTTTTGGTCTGTCTATTACTGTCACTTGTTGTGTAACAGGTGCCCTTACTGGCAGACTATAAACTCTGTGTCTTTAACTGTTCTATGGTGCCTCTCACACATTTTTGGGCATTTGAAAAATAATAGTTTTGAAATAAAATACTGAAGTTTAAATAAAGAAGAAAGCAGCTCCCACCAATCCAAAACAATCTTCTTTTGCCTGGGTTGTGTGGGTGAGTCTGGTGGAGGAGAGGGAAACAGAAAATGTGGGGGAGGCTGATGATACCCTGCCCTAGCTCTACCCACAGTCCAGTATTACTGGATGATCCTGCTCAAAAGTTACCAGCAGTGTAACAGCTACACATACTGGCATTCAAATTGATATCATGGGGCTTCCAAGTTAACCATGGAGATGAATAATGGCAGTAACCATGGAACTGAATGGCAATAATCCATCTCTCTTATTGGGCTAAATCCCGCACTACGTCCACGAGCAAAAATTTCATTGTATTCAATGGGAATTTTTCCAAGGTAAATACTGTAAACGTTGGACTCAGAGAGATTGTTTCAGGCTGGGTCTCTGCAGACTGGTTCATAGATGGAACCTTTTCCCTGCAACCGTAAGGGCTAGAAACACAAACTTTTAAAGATAAAAGCTTAATTTATTCAGAAAGTAAATCAGCACAGGGAAGTACTTAGAATGGCTATTTATTAATGATTTATGACTTCAATGGAGCTATATTGATTTATACCAACACATTATCTGGCCTCTAGATTTTACAATAAACAAAGATATTGGAGGAGCGCAAGAGGATAAAATCACCCTTTAACTTCTGCCAGCCCAAGCTTACACACAGATCTTGCCCATAACAGTGCTTTTCATGAGTTCATAGTAAAGTCAGTTAGTTAGGTCTCAGTTCAGCTTTGTATGGTTTATAGAGTGTATGCCAGAAACTCGGATTCACTGCTTGCTTACTAAATGAATGGACTATAGTTTAAATTACAGTCAGGCAATCCACATACTAAGTGTGCACTAGCACACAGTACACATTAATTCATCACTTAAATTAGCAGGAAATCATACAGAACAAAATTAAATTCCTAGTTTTAAGTTTCACGATGACAATGCTCCAAGTAGATGTTGAACAGTGTGGGCAACAGGCAGCAGCCTTGCTGGACTCCAACAGTGGTGCAAAACCACTCTCCTATTGTGCCATTGAGGAGAACTGCATGGCTGGTCTTGGCATACGGTTGTTTAATGGTAAGAATAAGCTTACAACCAACACTGTACTTCTTCATGGGTGCCCAGAGAGCTTCATGCCATACTCTGTCAAACTCCGTCTTGAAGTCAACAAAGACATGGTAGATGTCCTGCTGGTGTTGTAAGTACTTCTCACATAGAACACGAAGGTTGAAAATCTGTTCTGTGGTACTTCTTCCAGCATGAAAGCCAGCCTGGTCTTCAACAATAATATTCTCCACTTGTGGCTTCAATCTGTTCAATATGACTTTCAACGTCACTTTGCTGGGATGGCTAATTAAGCTTATGGTCCGGTAATTTTGATACAATTGCAGGTTGCTTTTCTTTGGCAGAGTGATGATTAGTGACTGTGTCCATGTGGAGGGCCACTCACCGGTCTGCCGATCTTGTTGCAGATCTTGGTGAGTATATGTATTACTATTTCTCCTCCGAATGTCATCAATTAGGCTGGGATGTTGTCAATACCTGTAGCTTTTCCATTCTTGAGTGATTTCACAGCTGTCTCCTAGGACGTCCATTGCTGCCTCATTCATTACAGCGTTGAAATTGTTGGTCGTTGTTTCTACGTCTTCCTCTAGAGCCAACAGCAGGGCAAATTTTCCGCTGATCATTGCTTGGAATGACTCTGCAATGTTTCGGTCTCTGAGTCTTTCTAAGTCAAACTTGGTTCTGGTGAACTTTGGCCTGACGATTTTCCTTAGCCGCAGCCAAAAATTTAGCATCACAAGGTCACTCTGTTGGAGTCCGGCAAGGCTCCTTCTTTCACCCACACTGTTCAACATCTGCATATATCTCAAGAAACAAGCAGGTTTTGCAGACTTTTGTTCTCTTCTCTATTATAGAAAAGTCCTATAGAGTATAATGGGGATTAAACCAATATTAAATAGGGCTTTATAGAAATTACTACAATAATATAATTTAACAGAGAATGATAACCTTTCAACAATTTTTATACCAACCTACAGAATTTATTGAGACTTGTACAGAACTAAAACAGGTATTTAATCTCTATTAAGTTCTATAGTTTGGTTCAGTATTCTACAGAAAGGAGATCATTCTTTATTAAGCAGCACTGACTATGATTCTGTGAAGAAGGCAAAGTCTGTTTCTGGTTACCACACAGGCTCTCTTGGGTCTGATAAACTGGTATCCTCATGGTGAGTTGAGAAAATGACAGCCTCAGTTCCTTTGCACATTTAGTGAACAAAATTAAACAGCTCGGACCAAGGGAAGCCCATGGCCTCTTTCCACACAGAGCACAGATAAGCATTTTCTAAGTGAATTTTGTGAGGGCTCTGAAGAAATTTTGAAGGGGAAAATGGGGGTGGGGGGGGGGGGAGAGAGACCAGAACAACTGATAAAAACCCAAGACAGTTGAATCATGGGCATCATCTGGAAAAATATACACTGGAGAAGGGATTACTGGGTTAAGAAATAGTGCAGTAATAGCAAAGGAAATGGTAATTTCCTGAACTGGCTGCCAGTTAACCAAACACTGAATGAAGATCCATATATGAGTGATTGTCAGATCACCGGAAAATATTCAGTACCACCTTTAGAGGGAGTTTTGCCTGAGTAAGTTCCTATGTCCAGGGTTGTTTCCTACACTGAAGATAGTAACAATGAATGTAGATAGTCTGGGTATCTCTCATTAATATATTTTTCCACCACAAAATTATTGAGTCTTTCTATACTGGTTGTTTCCTCTTCCACCCCCCCACCCCCTTGATTCACTTGTTTCTTGCAGTATCTAACTACATCATTTCATAAGGATTTTTCAGTTCTTTTTTCCCCTTGAACATATTTTTCAATGTTTAATGCTATTAAACACGTTCAGTTTATGTTGTTCTTCTAAGACCATCTTCACCTCTTCTATCTCTAAGGGTGTATCTACACAGCAAAGAAAAACCTGTGGCTGGCTGGGCTCTAGAACCATGAGGGGTGAGAGGGAAGTCAACACAGCAATGAAACAGCCCTGCAGTCCGAGCCTGGCAAGCCCGAGTCGGCTGGTACAGGCCAGCTGCAGGTTTTTCTTTGCTGTGTAGACATACCCTGAGACACTTCTCTTTTCTAATTCTTCCCTTTTCTTCCCTACATGTATCCCTTATTCATTTTTCCCTTGGAATCACTGATATTTTTTCACTCTGGTTTACAAATCTCTTCTTCCTTCCTTCCTTTCTTCCTTCCCTCTCTCTCTCTCCAGATCAGTCCCCTTATACTCAAGGGTGACTATTTAACATGTATATTGTTTCTGAAATATTTTTTCACATAGTCCCAGGATGATAAACATATTGGGTGAAATTCTGTCCCCACTGAAGTCAGTCACAGCTTTGCCATTGATCTTAAGGAGCCAGGTTGTCATCCACTGCCTGACCAAATCTACCTTAGACTGCTTTAGCAATAAGGTAACATTATGGTATTAGACAGATCATTTTAATTCTCTCACCCGTGCTCTTCGGTAGTATATTTGAGTAACTCTGCAAGCTGAAGAGGGTATTTACAGATCTTCTGAACAGGTGTAAGGAGAAAGCCATCAATAGCAATGTCAATCATCTGCTGAAGCAGGCGACAGGCCTCAAAGAAGTGACGGTATTTGCTCTGTTTCATTAGGTTGGAAAGCTCAAGGCAGGCACTGGGATGATTGTTACAATACTCTGAGTAGATGGCAAAACCTTCTTGCTATAAAGAAAAACCAAAGCTTTAGCTAAAACATTCATCTTAAAAAGACAAAACCAAAAATCGATATTGAAGTTATAAAACACTTCTGGTTACACTAATTAGACAGTTTGCTAAATTACACCCAAACTGAATAACAATCTATTTAGAAAACACAGAAGAATCTATTCTACAATTGGTAATAGGTGAAACTCCTGTTAATATGGATCGCAGGAGAGTGCATTCACTAGCAGTGCTTGCTGCTTTCTGAAATGGAAAAAAACCAAATATCTCTTTACGCTAACCAGATTTGTGAATTTCAGTCATACGGGGTTCTCTGTGAACACTGAAACAGAGGCCTCCACAAAATCACAATTATCAAACTCACTTTAAGAAGGAGTTTTCTTTGAGGAGCCTTGGAAATTGGAAGCCTCCTATGGTTATTGGTAAAGCTGAGCGAATAATAGATTTTTTGGTTAAAAATAATAATAATGATAATCTAGTTCAATTTGAACCAAACTAATTTTTAAGAGATTTTTTCAAATTGAAAAAATGTCATTTTGAGTTGAGTGAGATGTCTGAATTGACTCTAAACAATTTTTTGTTTAGTTTTTCTATTTGGGGTTTTCTGCGCCCCCCCCCCACCTTTTTTTTTTTAAACTGGCCAAACTTGAGAACAGCATTTTTTTTTTAAGCAAAATTAACTTGGAAAAAAAAAATGAGTATTTTTCAGCCTGAACTATTCAGTGAGTTCTACCCAAACACATGAATAGTTATTGAACCCTCCAAAATGCATTTTTCGGTGACATTTTTATTTGCCAAACTTTTTTTCTCAAGTCTACTTGGAGGTTATGTAGGTGATTAGCAATGATATGTGACTCTTTTCTCACCTTTATTAACCAGGGTGATTGACATTTTCTCTGGGAAGATACTGGATGTAGTTTTCATAGAACAAAATCAACTCAGATACCTGCAGTTATGTAAATGTTAACCTGTGATCTGTGTTCCCTGTAAGCTGCGTGCTTGGGCTGCCAGGCAGGAGAGATTTAAGTGCCGTTCTGTGCACAGGAGGCAGCATGTGTTCAAGTGCCCCTCCCCCCATGTTGCCCATCCTGCAGCTGCTCCTGGGACCCTCCTGCTGGCTGTGCAGAGCAGAAGCTGGGGGAGGGAGGAGGGTGCTCTCAGGATGTCACCCTCCCCCCACCCCTGTACCCCATCTCTGCAGAGCAGGGCAGAGGGGATAGCCTGGCTCAGGAGGACAAGGAGCTGCTGTGGTCTGAATGGTGAGTGGCTGTCGACTGAGTACCTTTCTTAAAGAGACAGTGCATTGTTTCTGACATTTCCCCAGAAGCCAGCTCACACAGTCTCTCTCTCTCTCTCTCTCACACACACACACACACACACACACACACACACACACACACAGAGTCTCTGTCTCTCTCACACAAAGAGTCACTGTCACACACACACACACACACACACACACACAGCGTCTCTCTCTCTCACACTCACACACAGAGTCTCTGTCTCTTTCCAACACACCTCCCAACACATACTCGTATTATTATTATTATTGTTACTTCTTGGTACTTCCTGCAATGCACATATATGCTCTGTAATTTTATTCTTTCAAAGTGTGATTTTAGTGTTTTGACTGGTCTATGCATTTCATAATTTTTATTTCTCTTACACTTAAATTTAATTCTTTGAGTAGTGAGTTCTAAAATGCCTAACCTGTCCTGGCTGGAGTAATTATCCCTCTGGTAACTTTTAAAATATATATATTATATCTAAGTTTTTTGTTTCTACTGGTGGTGCATATAGGCACATACCTCGGTGCACATAAGAAAATGTATTCCGCATATGGATGGAAAAAATTAGAGGGAACATTGCCTGTGATTGTTGGAAACAGTCCTGTTCATCTGGGACCTTGGGATCACCATAGCTATGAAAATGGAAAGACTGTTCACTTACAAGGAAAATAGGCCTACTCAAAGGGTGGAGGTGGAAAAAAAGGAGGGATTTTAAATGTTTTCATATAATCAGCACTAACTAAAGTGTCTTCCTCATGGTAGTTTAACATTTACTAATCATATTTTGTTTATTTCATAAGCAAAATGGAGTTAAATGACATACATGTTGAAGAAAGCAGGATCCTATTTCACTTAAATGAGGTTCCTCTTTGTTGTACTGTTTCTCAAGATCTTTCAGAAACTTTCTTTGGAATTTGTAAATATCTTCAATGTTTCCAAAAATGGTGTTTAACTGAGCCATGGTGAACATTCCTGTATGTTTACGACACTGCCGAATATATCCCTGGAAATAAAACAAGAAAACCTCTTTGTATCAAATCTGAAAGAGATCAAGAGCTTGAAAATGGAGTTTGTACTGAACAAGGCAACTCAATTTGATATTCTGCTTTCCAAGGTTAGATTTTTGTGGTCTCTGATTTCAAGGCCATATTCACTACAAAACTGGATGTACAAATTCAGATGTGTGTCTGAACAGTTATGTTACTGATTCTCCCAATCCTAATTCTGTTTCACCCTAGAGTTGATTAGTCAGGAAGCCAGATGTCAGCACTTGTATAATATCTAATACAGAGCTGCATTTTATTGTTATAACTACCAATCCAGGAGGAGGAGAGCCTGCACTACCAGTTTTGCCACAGTGTTTAGTAGTAACTGCCCCAACTGTGCTATGACAGAGTTTGATCTTGCCTGTACAGATGAGACCAAATTCTGTAAAAACACAGTCTAAAGATAATCTTTGCTAGGGCTAGTGTAACCCACACACCTCTGGGGGGTGGTGTTCTGTCCCATCTAGTGGCACCGAAACCATTTAGAGCAGTGGTGGGCAATGTGCGGCCCACACACGGCCTGTTGGGGTAATTCGCTGGCAGGCTGCCAGACAGTTTGCTTACGTTTGCACTGCTGCCTGCAGCTCCCAGTGGCCATGATTCACCGTTCCTGGCCAATGGGAGCGGCGAGAAGCAGTGCGGGCTGCAGGGACGTGCCGGCCACTGCTTCCTGCAGCTCCCATTGGCCAGGAATGGCGTACCGCGCGTACTGGGAGCTGCGGGCAGGTGGCCGTGCAAATGTAAACAAACTGTCTGGCGGCCTGCCAGCATATTACCCTGATGGGCCGCATGTGGCCCGTGGGCCGCAGGCTGCCCACCACTGACTTAGAGAGAGATTAATGAGTCTAAGGGCCATATGGCTTTTAGCTCATGCAGTAGAGGCTCATGCACTAAGCTCCAGAGGTCCCAAGTTCAATCCTGCCTGCCGACGACCAGGGTCTGTTGGTGTTACACTAGCGCATGGTTCCTTGAGTATTTCAGGGCTTGGTCCCAGCCACATAGGTAAGATTACCTTGTTATAATGCGCTTGAGGTGCTACTGTGTTTAAACACTGCTTAAACACGGCAAAATCTATAGCATGGACAGGACCCAACTGGTACTGGAACGACTGCTACCTAAAAACCCAAATGCTCCATTAACAAATATTTCTCTCTCTTTTATGTCTATCTGTATGGGTTCAGTTCAGTACATCTGTCTCAGTCTCTAAGTAGATATGTTACAATGCTCCAACCCCACAAAGCACTTGAAGTAACTTCTACTCTGCATTCAGTACCAAAGAGCAGGTAATACAAACAACTATGCAGCCAGGAGGAAGAGAAAGGATTAGGGTTCTGCTGAGGTAAGTGGTCAGCTCCTGCCGCATGTCACAGAGAGGCATATGATCAACAAATATGTAGCAGCGAGGCACACCTGGCAAGCTAATAAATATCTGCTGTTTTACGCACTGTGGGGAGAATGGGATACAGTATGCTAAAATGGCTGCCAGAAAACATCTGTTGCACACACAATAGGGTATGGAACCCAGGTGCACGTGAGCACTGAGGTTAAACCGTGTGGTTAGGAGATGTTTGCCAGGTCTGTACCTTTGGACGCTGTCAGGCATGTTGCTCCCAGATCTCCCTGTGAGCTGCTAGCACCAAAGAACTTGCAATTGCTGCAGTGAGGTAACTAGGTTCAAGCAGACTCTTGGAGTTTCTGAATACCATTTCTGGGTACAGATGGGTGCTACCATGCATGTCCCTACCTTCCCAACCCCTGCCTTTTAAGGGAGGTGCCAATGCTTCAAGCCAAGTTGGTTAGGGTTACCATATTGCAGTCCTGGAAAAAGAGGACACTCCAAGGGGCCCTGGCTCCGCCCCAACTCCGCCCCCGGCTCCGCCCCAACTCCGTCCCTTCTCCAAAGTCCCTGCCCCGACGCCACCCCCTCCCCTGAACGCTCCGCCCCCTACTCTTCCCCCTCCCCTGCTTCCCGCGAATCAAATGTTCAGAGAACGGAGTGGTCTCTAGTAGTCAAAGACCCTTCTTCCCCGTCCCCTCCAGTCTATGTCTATCCTATTGCTGTCTAACCCGCCCCAGCTCCTCATCTGATTTCAACTGCCCCCCACTACCGCTCTGGATTCCTTGTCCCAGTTTCCTGGTCCTGTCTCACTCTCCTCTCTCCCCGCCCCCATCCCTCAGATGGGATGTTCATTCCAGATTGGCAAAATTATAAGGCTTCCCAACATTTCAACACTTCCCATTCTAAATTTTCGGTTGCTTAACTATAGGCTAGTTCTGCCTACAACAAAGCATATTCAGAACCTCTGATTAAAGGGATTATAAGTGTAGCAACCTCCATCATAACTAGTCACCAAAGATTGAACCCGAGCCATCCAGACTTAAAAGTATGAGCTTCTACTACTTGAGTTCAAGCTATAACTCCCTTAGCTGGTAGCTATACAGTTATCCTCTAAAAATCCACCAGAGGAGGGCCCAAAACACATGTTGGACAGTGAATTACAAAAGTGCCAAATATTATTATTAGACCTGCAATACTTTTCACAATGAACATCAGCGGGGGATAAACTGGGAGTTTAAGAATATTTGGAAAACAATTTTAGAATAACATTCAGTGCTGATTTTATTTCAGCCCACATCTTAATAGTTTTGAATACAAGATCACAATTTTCAGCTCATTTGGTCTGAACATGCAGAGCTTTAAAATTGCTATACTCTAAACTGTATATTAACTACAATTTTATAAACCTGCATGTCAGAGAACTGTGTGCCACTACTACTAGACAGTGGCACAAGGCAATTCAGTGTGAATCACAGAAATGTAGGACTGGAAGGGACATCAACAGGTCATCTAGTCAAACCCCTGCACTGAGGCAGGACTGAGTAATAACAACTAGACCATCCTTGACAGGCGTTTGTCTAACCTCTTAAAAAACTCCAATGACTGCTATTCCATAACCTCTCTAGGTAATTTGTCCAGTGCTTAACTACCTTTACAGTTAGGAAGTTTTTCCTAATGTCTAACCTAACTCTCCCTTGCTACAATTTAAGCCCATTGCTTCTTTTTCATGCATGTCCTGAGTGGGACGGGGGTGGGTCCAGGCAGTGGGATTGGGGGGAGGGAGGTCGAGGGAGTCAGTGGGTGTGTGGGGATGGACCGGGGGAAGCAGGGTGGAGGAACTGAGGGGGACAGGACTGGGACTGGGGGGGGCTGAGGGGGATGGGACAGGACTGGGATGGGGGGAGTAGGGTAGGGGCTGAGGGGAGCATGAATGGGACAGGGTAGAGAGAGCTGTGTAGAGTGGGGTGGGGCGGGGGAGACAATGGGGCTGGGCTGGGGAGGGTTGGGGGGTTGGGGAGAGGGACAGGGTCTGGAGGGGATGAGACAGAGGGGAGCAGTACTGGAATGGTGGGAAGTTGAGGGGGTGGGACAGCAGGGGGAGCGATGGGGGTGGGATGACGGGAGAGGCTGAAGAAGAGATTTGGGGTAGGGCAAGGCTGAGGGCAGTGGGTTGGGGGGAGCAGGGGGACTGTGGGGGAGGCTGTTGGAACGGGGGCAGGGACTGAGGGCAGTGGGTTCGGGGTGGGAGGTACAGGGGGAACTGCGGGGGAGGCTGAGGGAACAGGGTCAGGGTGGGGCCTGAGGGCAGTGGGTCTGAGGGGAGCCCCCCCAGAGGGACCTGCCAGGGGGCCAGGTGAGCCCAGCAGTGCTTACCTGGAGCGGCTCCCAGGAAGCATCCAGCAGGCAGGTCCCTCCCAGTCCCTCTGGCCCCTTCCTAGGGTTGGGTCAGGTGGAGGGGAGGGGGGTAGGGGCGGGGGGAGCTCTCTGCCCGGCGACCGCTGCCTGCTGCCGGAGTCTACAGGCCCCGCCCCGCTGCAGCACGCAGGGGAGTGAGACCTCCCTGCCTCTCTGTGTGCCGGGGCAGGGGGAGGGCTGCGCTCTGCAGGCTCCTGCCGGCCAGGCGGGGGGCCCCGTGGGCTGGCGCCGCCGCGCCGGGAGCTCTCAGCTGCGCGCTGCCCCAGGGCCCAGGGAGGAAAGGTGAGTGGCGCCGGCAGCGCCGGCTTGCCGCGGTTCCCCCAGCGCGGCTGCCCTGTCCTCGCTTTTGGGTCTTTAAATAGCCGTCCGGGGGGAAATCCCGGACATTTTTAGCTTTTTACAAATTCCCCCCGGACGGCTATTTAAAGACCCAAAAGCCGGACATGTCCGGCCTAAAGTTGGTGTTTTTTGCCTTTTGCTTTGGTGCACAGGCTCCCACAAGGGAAGTTATTTCTTGTGCAGATCTTGTAACTCTGGGTCAGCCTCTGGAGTAAATTTTTCTCTGACTCAGACCTACATATAAGCACACCACCAGCCTCACTGTCCTGCTTGCACAGCCATGAGTGATTCACTCTTTGCTGAACTTGGGCACGTTTATTCCCCTTGGAAAACATGTGCATTAGCACTGGTCCACTAAATGCACAGCCACTCTGTCTTTTAAAAAAACCCACAGATGAACTGGATTAGTGATGTTTAAGAATTAATATCAGTGGGCCAAATCCTGAGAGCTCCAGCTCCTCCTGACATCAATGTATGTACTGATGTATCTCAGCAACAGAGTTAAGCCAATGAAAGTTAACGTTAGTTTCTCACACATACTACATCACTAGAAAAAACATCTACACCCTCCAAAGAAAATAACTAAATAGAAATTGGTAGCTGGAGCAACAGAATGGTACCTGAAAGAATAAATGGCAAAAGAGGCAAGCAACTTGGGGCTAGTCTGAAGACAGAAGGCAATTCAGTTGGACAAGTCAAGGAGATAAATTCTTACGTTCATAAAGCAACACAAGATTTGTAATATTGGTTCAAAACTGTTGGTCTAGCCAGTCTGGTATTCTTCTAGCAATTGCCAATACCTGATGCTTCAATGGAAGATGAAATTCACCCACTATGAAGCAAGCCAAATGTGTCAGAGATACACATGTTGGTAAAAATCCCTCCCTGACCTTTTATAGCTTATGTCCTGAAGTATAAGATTGAATTACACTTACCCTGGCATAGATAAAAAGTGTATCTTAATGATGATCTTGCTCAAGGAATTGAAATTTAGCAAAACATTTTAAAGATTACCTGAAAAAAATGGGTTTGTGCCTTTGTTTTGTTTCTTTAGGCCTGATAAAAAATAATCTGCTTGTTTGCCACAATATAGAAGGGCAGCTCTTATTATTTTTATTTTTCCTGGAAGATTCTATATATGACTGGAGAACTAATAGGACTATGAAATAACAAGCAGAAAGGAAGTGAAACCTAACAAACTGAAAGGAGAAGTGATTTTTTTTGGTCAGGCTGTTTACCATCCTTCATTGGTTCTTTTTTACTATTCTAACTCAAACACCCAAACCACACGTGGGAGAAAAAACGTTCATAGTTAAAGGCTCAAACGTCAATTAAGGTGTGAGAATGCTCCTATTACAGGTCTCTGGTCCTCCAAGGAAACTCCAGCAAAAAACAAACAGAGAAGGTAAGTCTTGATACTACTGATCTTTCTGCAGTTTAAACAAGCAGAATATTTTTAAAAAATAGAATTACATAATAAATGACCAGAAAAAAAAGAACAAATCCAATTTTTCATTTTTTCCTCTGCAGGCCACCTTCAAAATGTTCAGACACTAAATTGTAATTAGATACACCTCTAGCCCGATAGAACGCTGTCCTCGGGAGCCAAAAAAGCTTACCGTGTTATAGGTGAAACCGCGTTATATTGAACTTGCTTTGATCCGCCGGAGTGCGCAGCCCCGCCCCCCCCGGAGCACCGCTTTACCGCGTTATAGCCGAATTCTTGTTATATCGGGTCGCATTATATCGGGGTAGAGGTGTACTACAGTATTACATGGGTTTACAGTTATCTACAGATGCAAAGTGGTAGGAAATACTAAGTAAGCTGGACTCTCTCCCCTAACATGGAAACTGCAGTCAGGAAAGCAATGCATTGTTAACAGGGACAAAATGAAGTGTTCTTTAAAAAAAGTACATTATGGTGTTCAATAAAGAAGAGAGTTAGAACTGCATAAGAGAGCATTCTCATTGACTGCCTTTGAATTGCAAGGATGAATCTTTTGACAACAGAAAATGCTCAAGTTTTCACTCATAAGGAACATTTCTTCAAACTAGGTCTGTGGAATGCTCTAAGTCTATGGCTTGACACTGTACCTCACAGATGTCCTTGAGATGTTTGATATAGACTCTCTCCGTGTTCATTATTTCTTGTATCACATTGGTTCTCATCTGATCCTTGTTTTCAGCAATTTTTTGGCGATGTTTGCTAGCATCTGCATGTTGCTCTTCATCCTGGATGCTACCACAATTTTCTCCAAGTTCTTCCTGATTAACTCGTAGCTGCATTCATAACAGAAAAGACAGCTAGAGTAGTGCAGCAAGGTGTTACAAAAACAAATGTTAACAATTATTACAAACTTTATTTAATTACAATAAAGGCAGCTCATAACTGATTATTAATTATTATTAATATTATATAACTGGTCCCCAGTCCTAATAAGGTCTATCATGTAACTCTTATGCAAGTATTTCCACTGGCTACTAATGTAAAGGTTTCAGTAATGGGCCCACTCTTTCTTTCTGGGTACCCATACGGCCTTCATCACCATAGTATCCGAAGGCCATCATATAAATGTTGCCTGTATTTTTTGTTAACAGAAGTGCAGATTTATTAGAGACCATGAGCAGTGGGCGCTCATTGCCAATACTCAAATAAGTAAATTGTGGCTTTATTTTTCATGTTAAATTCGGATGACACTGATCTGAAGTAATCAGTTACAGTCATTTCTTCTTTCCCCAATTGTCCTCCTTTCCCAAAGAATGGGGCACTCACACTGATATCTAAAGTTAAAAATACATTTTTCTGAAGTGAGAGTATCAGAAGAGAATGCTGAGTAGAACAGATGTTCCCACCTCCATCCCCAAAACTGCTGTGCTCTTTCTGTACATATTGACCACTCTTGAGTGGTATTAGTGCTGGTTCCTTTACCTCCATGGGACATAGTCCAAATAATAATGATAACGATAAGCTGGGTCTCTGTCCTCATTTCTATTTGGATTTTGAAAGGGCTACCCAGGAGTAAGTGACAGTAATATGTGGCCAAGTAGATTGCAAATATTTGGGCCTGATTCTCTTTTGCCCTGTCCCTTGTGTAGTCTTTTATGCCTGTGAAAAGTGGTCATAAGGAGTTACAATTTTGATTTGCAAATGCAAGGCAGTGGAGAATCAGGCACTTAATTTCAATTTAATATTGGTTTGGGGCATTCAGCATGAACCAAGGATATAAAGATATGAATGCTTAATCGAGAATAGCAACATTTAACAAAATAAAACAAACCATTGTTATATTGACATTTTACCAGGAAACTGATGTAAAGCTGCAATAATGCAGTGGTGAATCAGGCCCTCGTTGTAGAAAAGAGACAGACGTAGGTTACTAACCCTGACAAAGCTAGCTGGAAACCAGGCTTCCTTGTCTTCATTTCTTCCCCACCACCAGTCTTTGTTGGAAGCTTCAAGGACTCTGATGACGTCCCCAGCTTTAAAGCCTAGCTCTTGATCATCCATAGTCACGTGGTCCCACAGTGCCTCTGCATAGACCATGCTGCCATCACTTATTAGCTGAAATGGGGGGGCGGGGGGAGAGTTGGTGAAGGACAAAAGCTCAGCAAAGACCAATCTGTAGACTGCTAGAAAACTAAACAAGCATAATTAAACAAAAAGGAGATAAATAAATACAACCTGTTTCAGGATGAGCTGAGTATTTTGAGAAATCTGTCCTTGTATAATTATCTGTCTGAGAAATTAGATAATGCAGCAAAAAGGTCTGGATCCCAGACTTGACCAAGCTTGAGTACAGTTATATGAGGCATCATCACTTTAACCAAAAGGTTAGACATACTGGAAAGTATCCTCCTCTTACCTCATTAATTGCTAGCTGTTCCCCTCCAGGCTGCAGGTATCTAGGGCTGGGTTGGCAGAGCTCCTCATAACTGTAATCCTCCTCACTACCATTGTCATCAACTAAGGCAGAAGATTCAGTTTCACCATCTGTAACAACTAAAACAATAGTGACAGGCTTGAAACAGAGTAATTTGGTTTAATCAAAGACAAGCAAACATACAAAAACAATTTAATAAAAAATGTGAACATAAAACTGCCAATAGGCTAAGGCAAAACCCCTTAGAAAGTGCCTTTGCTCTTGAAAATATAACACCACCACATTTACTTAGGGAGTAATTTTCCTCTCATTTACACAGGGAGTAATTTTCCTCTCATTTACACACCCATACAAATTGGGAATAACCCCACTGAAGCAAACAGAGCTACACAGAAGTAGACCTGGATGTAAACCATTAACATTTTTGGGCCTGTGTCACAGGTAGGTAGATACAGTAGTTTCCTGCAGGGTCCCTGGTTCAGAGGAAAAAACTTAGGTCCAGATTTGAAAAGGTATTTAGGTGTTGTTGAGCTCAGGATTCCACTGCCTAACTTATTTAGGAGCCTAAGTTAATTTTCAAACAGGGTTTAGGCACTTAGGAGCCTCAATCCCATCGACTGTCAAAAACAATTTAGGCTCATAAGTGCCTAGGTCTCTTTTGAGAATGACACTTAGGGTACGTCTTCACTACCCGCCGTATCGGCGGGTAGCAATCGATTTATCCGGGATCGATATATCGCGTCTCATTAAGACGCGATATATCGACCCCCGAACGCGCTCACCGTTGACTCCGGAACTCCACCAGAGCGAGCGGCGGTAGCGCAGTCGACGGGGGAGCCGCAGCCATCGATCCCGCGCCATGTGGACCCCAAGTAATTCGATCCAAGATACTTCGACTTCAGCTACACTATTCGTGTAGCTGAAGTTGCGTATCTTAGATCGATCCCCCCCCCCAGTGTAGACCAGCCCTTAGGCATTGCAATTCTGAGCACAGCAATGCCTAAATACCCTTAAAAATCTGGGCCATAATCTTTATGACTCTTAGGCAGATGGTCAGAGGCAGCGGGCATAATAGGCCAGGTTAGTCTCCCCTAACCCAGGCCATGGCCCCACCCATACTCCGCCCCGAAGCCCCACCCTCGCTCTCCCTTCCCCTGAAGCCAGAAGGGACTCAGCTCGAGCTGGTGGCCTGGTGTGCTCAGGAAGCTTGGCTGACCAACAATCGAGGGGTTGGGCCAGTGCTAGTGTTACCAACTATCTAACTGCAGAAAATCGAACACCCTTGCCCTTACCCCTGCCCCGCCCTGAGGCCACACCTCTGCCCCACCCCTTCTCTGAGGCCCCGCCCCTGCTCACTCCATCTTCCCTCCCTCCGTTGCTCACTCTCCCCCACCCTTCCTCATTCGCTCATTTTCAGTGGGCTGGGGCAGGGAGTGGGGTGCAGGGGGGGATGTGAGGGCTCTGTACTCTGAGGTGGGGCCGGGGATGAGGGGTTTGGGGTACAGGAGGGGGCTCAGGGCTGGGGCAGGGTGTTGGGGTGCGGGAGGGGATTGGGGCACATGCTCTGGGTAGCACTTACCTCAGCCAGATTCTGGAAGCAGCCAGCATGTCCCTCCGGCTCCTATGTGAAGGGGCGACCATGGGGCTCTGAACACTGCCCATGCCTGCAGGCGCTGCCCCCTGCAGCTCCCATTGGCTGCAGTTCCCAGCCAATGGGAGCTGTGGAGCCGGCACTCGGGGTAGGAGCAGCACGCAGAGCCCTGTGGCTGCCCCTTCACCTAGGAGCCGGAGGGACATGCTGGCCGCTTCCGGGAGCCACGCAGAGCTGGGTACGGAGCCTGCCAGCCCCGCTGCACTGGCAGCACTGCCAACCATACTTTTAACGGCCTGGTCAGTGGTGCTGACCGGAGCCACAAGGGTCCCTTTTTGACTGGGTGTTCCGGTCGAAAACTGGACACCTGGCAACACTAGCCGGTGCTTGGACTGGCCTGGGGGTCGGGCCAGTACTTGGGCTGGCCGGTGGCCAGGGGGTCAGGGTGGTGTTGGGCTGGCCGGTGGCCCTGGCAGCTGAGGCAGGAAGGCCAGTGCTCGGGCCGACCGGCGTGGCTAGGGTGGGCTGCCCAGCAGCCACAAGATGCTAGGGCGGGTGGGCCGGGGCTTCTCTGGCCATGGTGCGGGGAGGGGTAGGCTCAAGGCTCCAGGGGGCAGGGATGGAAGGGGCGGGGCCGGGGTAGCCTCCCCGAAGGGGGGATTCATGTGCTGCCCTTGCAGATGGCCTGCAGTGTAATCCTGCATGGAGTAGGCTATGAAGGAGAAAAAAGCAGAGTGTAGAACTAGGCGGGAAATGGTTTTCCTATCCCATTAAAATTTTCAAGATTCAAAAAAAAATTCTCCATTCTGCGGTGGGATGAAATCAAGCGATTTTGAATTTTTTGTTTTTTGGTTTTTTTGGTGAAGAAAGGCAGAAGAGATGGGGAGATTAAGGCACTCACATGGAACCTGGGAGAGTCAGGTTTGGAATCTGCTCTGCCAGATTTGGAAGAGGGACTTGAACCTGACTCTCCTACATCCCAGGTGAGTGACCTAACCAGCAGGCTATTGGCTATTCTAGGTTGGATTTCTCCCTCTCTAACTCTTGTTTTGACCAGAAATTCCATCTTGAAGCTGAAAAACCTCCCCAGCAAAACTTTTGTCAAAAATTACACATTTCCACAAAAAGGTTGTGTTTTTTTTTTTTTTTTTTTGACAAATCAGCATTTTTCGACAAAAAGCCAGCCAGCCAAAAAATTCCCAACCACCTCTACCAGAGAGGCTTGCCTTGCTTTTTGGATCCCACGCAAACAGTCTGTACAGTGTAACCCATAGGTTTTCATGACAGTATAGATAGCCCTGTCTATATTAGTGCTTACACTTGCACCCTTGCAAGCATTTCCACTTATATGGATACTAATTTTTCAAGAGTAATCAAGGCCATAGGATGCAGAGATCAATTAAAACATTTACCTTGTGGCTTTCTTTCTTTAGAAGGGCACAATTTTGCCCTTAGTCTTGACGTAAAACAACACAGTTATTCTACCCACCACAAAACATTTTAAAATACACATTCATATTAATGTCTCATAGAGCTAATAAAGGAGGCTGCAAAATTCCTATTAAAAAGTTGAGATCTCTCAGCCATAGGGTTACAAATCTGAAAACTAATAGAACTATATACTTTAAAAGTGGTATAATTTAAAACTCACTGACATTGCTTTCCCGAAAATCTGTAAATAAATAACATATACAAATCAGCTTCTAGCCTCAAATCTGAAGTGTTAAATTTCATCCCGGATCTCATTTTTACAGCCGCATTGTAACATCAGTACTGACAACTGGTTTGTTGCAGCAAAGATAGTAGACATAAATACTCTAAAACATTTAACTAAAGATGAAAAAGGAGTGTAATTTTTCGGCTGGTAACTGCTCATTATTCCTTACCAGTCAAGAGGCTTCCATTGCCTTGGTAGCTAGATTTAAAAAACAAACAAACAAAAAAACAACAACCACCAATCACTTACTCTCTGTATCTATTCCTCTAATGTTTACCGGCAGGAGTAAATATTTTACAGCTAGGGATGGGTATCCCTGTAGCTCTAATGGATTGCAAAAACTTAAGACAATGTGAGCCTGATTCTGATCTCTATCCAGCTTTTCATTGGTGTAACTGTTGATTGCAGTGGAGTTTACATTATTTACAACAACATGAATATGATCAGAATGAAGCCCAGTGACACTAACACTTGATAATTTTAAATCAGAAACATTACAGAGAATAAGGAAGAGTGAACCTTCTACTCACACATACCCATCTGAAGGCTCTCCAGACTCCAAAATCGTGCCATTTCCCCCCTGGCTACCATGCTGCTGTCAAAAACAACGTACAGAGTAGGGGCTTGGCCTTTAATAGGTGAAGCTTAGTCCTAAAAGATTCACAGAGAACCAGAAAGGCTTAGAGCCTTTGAGCTACTGAAAATTCAGAAACAGCTTATTCATTGCTTTGAGCTTCTGTATGTGCATATCAGGCCAGAGCCTACTTCGAAACTGACAGCTCACTCACTGTTCCTATAGCTGTGGGTTTAGTGGATCAGTGACATCATGGGGTACCCTTAGGGAGGAAGTTACAGAAAAGAAAAAACCTGTATATACAGTGTTCATTGATAATGTACTTACAGTCTACTGCACTGTAGCTAATGACACTGCAATGAAGAATGTTTTTCAGTCCTGTCAGTGCCAGAGAGTGTATTTGCTACTTTTCATTAAAGCAGCTAAATGTGAACTAGAGTTTCAATCTAAATTCAAAGGATACATCTTTTTTACTCCAAGTCACAGGAAAAGGCTATTGGGAGTTGCAATTTCTTCTAGCCATATGCAAAAATATGTCTTCCAATACTGCTTTGCATAACATTGTGCATTTATGATATTATTCCAAAATGTAATGTGTAGGTATAACTATACACCCAAAGGTATTTTTCACAGTTCTTATATGCCGCTGTTACTTCACAAATAAACTGTGGTATATTTGTTTGGTTACAAGTGACTATCACTACATTATAACCCAAATTCTAAACAGCAGCCAATTGCTCTGAGGGGTGATGGGGCAGAGGAGGTGTTCCCTCACTCAGGCCACAGCCTCAGTGTAACTCTACCACAGGGGGTAGAGAAGGAAGGACACGAATAGCCACTTAGCCCTGTCTCCACTCATTCCATAGCCCACTTCAGCAATGACCCCACCAACCCTCTCATGTCAGAGCACAGGGGATGCTATGGAGATTAGCATCTATCATCCCAGCATTGTGCTCCCCTTTGCATAGGGGAATTGCATCGGTTCTAGAGGCAAGGGCAGGATTTGCTCCTACAGTCAAATCATGTACTCTTCAACAACCTGCATTTGTACTAATTTTTTGAAAACTGGTATAAAAAGAAAATCCTGAAATAATTTTAAAAGAAGTCATGGCGCTATATGTCTGTGGATGGGACTCAGAATTACTGATTCTCTATATGGAAACAACGTCGTTTAGCTATGCCAGTCCTGTTACTAGGGGCTGGTTTCTCTAGTAATATGCTCAGAAAACCACCAAGG